AACTAATGCACAAATAGAAAATCAAGGACTCCCTGGCAGTGTTCCCTCTAACTTTTTCCATCCATGTGTGAATTAATTTTGTTATGTGCACCATATTGAGGTAATGTGCGCCACCAGTAAGAACAATAAACCTGGATATAATATATATTTTTAAAATGTTACCATAGGGATAATTACTCCAGTGAGGACAGGTTAGGCATTTTAGAACTGACTACTCAAAGAATTAAATTTAAGCGTAAGAGAGAAATAAAAATTATGAAATGCATAGACCAGCCAAAAAATTAAAACAACACACTTTGAAAGAAGTATCAAGTAACAACGATAATAATACAAATATATGTTGAGAGCAGGGTGGATAAAAATAAATGATTAAAAAAAATAATAATAAAAATCAGATTTCTTTATTTAAATTGGATTTTTTTAATTTAAATTGGATTTTTTTAAATAAAATGTTTTTTGAGGAAAAAACCTATCTAAAAATAGTTTTAATTAAGATACATTATAGCCCAAAGATATCTCATCACAGAATAGGGATTATAAATTATAATTCTGTAGTATGAGACAAAATATTCATATCATGTTTAAGAAAAGTTTTGTAAATGAGTTCCAATAGTGCATGGATTAGGGACCCAATATTATGGGGCTCCAGGGGCTTCTGTATAGATTATTGAGGTTAATCGTTCTATCTACCCAATGGGACTCAGTGCTCAGTCTAGAAGATACCATCAGAGATGCTTAGTTTTGCAGTTCTCAAACTGTAGATTTGTATCTCCAGAGATAACATGCTTGTTAACAGCAAAAATGTTTTAAAATAAATAAATACTATATAGTGGTGAGAAATAACAGACTTCAACCCTATTGTCCCTCTGCAAATTTGTGTACACAGAGTCAATCCCTTACACTTCTCTCTAAAAGTGCAAAGTTTCAAAAAGTTCAATGAATAGAAGATTGTTGGGGGTGGAATAGATCTGACAGGCAGAAGACGTCTGGAGATAAATGTGAGAATGGAGGGACAGGCAGTAGAAACAAAAGTGAAACTGTTTGAGCAGCGTATTCCAGAAGTCTTGAGGTCTTTCTGAGTGTAGCCTTCATTGATTTGAGATCTACCATACCATTCTCTCACTAGAAGGGAAAACTATAATGGTAGTAGGCTGTAAAAGAGACCCAGTTTGGGAATAAGAACCATTCAAGAAATATATGTATGTTGATGTTTTAAAGAAAGTCAAACCAGTGAACTGGTGGAGGTCACTTAAGCACTTGGATTCAGAGTTTGTTGAAGTGATAATCTCACTTTTAACAGCAGTAGAATATTTTCTTCCTTTGGACTAATTCATTCCAAATTGAGAAATCGTTTGGGACCTGAAAAAGCTTGTTTTTCTTTTCCATATTATGAACAAACAGGAAAATGAAGGTGAAGACGACTGAGTTAGCTGCAGAAGACAATATTTTAAGTTTCTCATGTTGACCTGGCTGACATAGTTGATTTAATTTTTTAAAAATATTTCATTTAACTATTTTAATTAAAAACAATTTTAACAAAAACAAACCTGATTTTAAACAACTCAAATGTTTAACTAAATTCAAAAATTCATACGCTTGTTTTGTTGAAATATTATATGTTTGCTGTTGAAGAAAAAAATCCAGAATACATAACATTGTTGTTTTAGTGAAATAAAACAATTTAAATGTCTGTCTGGTGATGTTCTCCTCCTAATATAGCATGGCAAGAAAATCCTTCAAATATTAATGATTAACCTGTTGAATTGGAGATCGTTCGCCACCCAATGACTTCATAAAAATCTGCTTCAATTACCTTTGGTAAATGAAATAACCAAACAATCATTCATTTTCTGATATAGCTGTAAAATTAATCTGAAAAGTTTTCAAAATAAGTCACTTGAAAAATGTATAGTATGTACCTTTGAAAAATGAAACCTGCATCTACCTCTGAGTTGTGAAGAATATGTATTAAGGTTATAACAACCAGCAAGAATGCACTTTTATGTAGAAATCCATGAGTAAATAGAGTCTTCCTGACTGGTGATTTAAATCAAATCCACCCTGGTTGGGAGGTGAGTATGAAAGACTGTGTATGTGTGTGAGAGAGAGACAGAGACAGACAAGCGCTGCCCCTTTAAGTATGCTGCCCTTTAAAGTAGATCGGCACTCCAGCAATCTGAAGCCTGCTTGTTCAGAGACAGCAACAGCTGCTAGCAAGCTACCTCCATCCTATGCCCTGTAGTGTCTTCCATACCCGCTCTGTGGAGATGAGTACAGGAGCTGGGGGAGGGCGACACCCTGACATCAGTGCCTTCTCCCCACTCTGCACAGCAAGCAGGAGGCTTCTGGAAGCAGCTGGCCAGGGGTTCCAAGGCAGAGGGCAGGAGCAGCACTGCAGTCGGGGAGGGGACACCTGAAGTGCAAGACACTTGATAGCCTGCTGAGTGGCTTCCCGGCCGCGCAGCTTAGAGGGAACTTAGCTCCCTGGTGTGCGAGTGTGGGTTCCTATGACAGACCATCGAACATATCACTACCTACTGCAAAAAGAAAAGGAGTACTTGTGGCACCTTAGAGACTAACCAATTTATTTGAGCATGAGCTTTCGTGAGCTACAGCTCACTTCGCTGTAGCTCATGAAAGCTCATGCTCAAATAAATTGGTTAGTCTCTAAGGTGCCACAAGTACTCCTTTTCTTTTTGCAAAGACAGACTAACACGGCTGTTACTCTGAAAACTACCTACTGCCTAATTTATAAATATGAAGAAGGCATTACTGCAATAAATTCTGCTACTCCTGAGGTAGCCATTTGGCTCGATCAATTTCAGGTGACATTGTACTTGCTGCTCTATACCAGCCGTATGAAAGAATAATAATAAAGAAAGCATACATAATGGACATGGGCCTAGGAAGTTTATGAAACATTTCCAAGGTTCCCAGTAGCTCTGAAGACTCTGGCAGTCATGTAGCGTCTGGTCCAAACTGATACATTAGTAAGTGTTTTAGTTGTAAGTACTCAGGTATCAGGGGGTAGCTGTGTTAGTCTGTATCCACAAAAACAATATCTGAAGAAGTGTTGGTTTTTTTTTTACCCATGAAAGCTTATGCCCAAAATATTGTCATCAGTGAGAAGTTAAGACTCTGGGAAATTGCAGGTGTCTATTTCCTAGAACTAATGTTTAGATGCATAATGGGATTTGGCTGTTGTTCGATAGCCGCACCATTAACCCCAGGCCTTTACTTCATATGTTTTTGGCAGCTTTTTCAATTTTTCACACTTTTCAGTCCTTTAGGGTTAAAACTTTGCCTGTTAGTAAATTTTCTTAGCAATGTATTAAGACAGCAAACAAAATGGGAAGATTCTCTGCCCAGTCTGTAGCACATCAGCATTTAAACTCCAATTAAATCTATGGAATTGAAATGGAGAACAAACCAGTCTTCAGATGATAGAGTTCCTCCCTACTCCTCTGGACCTAGTGCAGGTTGGAACCAATGTAATAGAGGTGGTGGGTTATGTAGACTATTTTAAATACTATTATTAAATGAAGACTCTCTCCGACTATATGCCAAGGTTCTAATTTGACATTACCAATTCACTGTTTACTAGTCAGACTGCAGCTATAGTTGCTAATTGGACAGAGAGACTGTTATGTCCACCCTTCGCTGTTTTTTCCAGTTGGAGAAAGAACTTTGGGTGGGTTTTTTATACATATTTTCGTCTCTCTTTTCCCCTCATTTTCCCCTTGTTTTGATTTGCTTTTTCAATTTAAAAAAAGCATAATTGTTCTCTCCAGTTATGTGCTACTTATAACTCTTTTTGAAATATTAAAAGATACACTTAGCTAAACTGAAAATAGAATTAGCAAATTAGAAAATAGTTATGATAATTAAACAGTAACTCCATTGATAGGTGTAGGAAGGCAAGGCAAGTCCATTGGCAACAGAGGTCATTAAACAGGAATTTGCATTACTGCTCCTGTTATCTCTTTAAAAACTTCTGTAATTAACTTTCTGTACTGAGTGTGACTCTTTCCTTTAGATGTTTTCAGAGATGTCTGCACAAAATGACCTTAGTTCCCCCATCTCGAATTCTGCTTTTTCTGCTGACTGAATAGGTACCATGAGGTTGAAACCAAAGGCCATCGTGTCAGAATGTGAATTTAGGTAACTTCTCCCCATTCCTGTAGTGTAACGCTCTGCTTTTAATTTAGTTACGTGAAAAAGGTGTTTGGTTTTCTTTTCTGGAAATGAAAATGGTGGAAGCAGGTGACTTTTTGTTTTGTCCTGGAAAAGGGATGAATAAGCAGCATTTGCAGTTAATTGCTTTTGTACATCTCCACTTGATAATCATGTTGACTACTTATGATCCGGAACTGGAGTGCTACAATCCAAGTAAATAAGCAGAGTTCTCTGCTATGCTTTCTTAAAATGCATACAGTTTTATCTTTTTCTCCTTTTCTACTAAAGTATAATCCCTTCAGATTGGCAGACATGGGATCTCTTTAATAGCTAGAGTTGTGGACTAGTTATGTATTAAGACTGGGGTTTAGATTGCCTGCTGGAATTACGTGCCTAATTCCTATTGATTTTCAATGGGAGTTAGTTGCTTAACTTCCTTAGGCACCTTTTGAAAACACCACTTTAAAATAATGGTTGAAATCGATACCACCTTTTGTGTGTAAGGCGGAAAGATGTGATATTATTGACGTCTTAAGATACATTATTCATTTGATTATATAAAACAGCAGAGTAAATCAAGCACAATATGATCTGCTTTTTGCTTTTATAAATGCTTTGTGAAACAATAAAATACATGTACCTCTGGGAACCCTGGGTACTGGGAGATGGACCATTGATCAGATCTGGCATGGCAAATTTTACATTTGTGAAGTCACCATTGTTAATATCTGTGTGCACTTGAGAGGCGTTTTTTCCCAAGCCTGTTGTTCAACTCCATATTCTGAAAGTGTTGTTAATGTGTGTAATGTGTCATTCTGTTTCAGACAAAACCCGGAAACAACATTTGAAGTGTATGTTGAAGTAACCTGTCCAGGGACAAGCAGCATTGGAGCAGGTACTGTTTTGCATTTGAATTCTACTTACTTTTTATGTCAAACTTTTCAGAGATCATATAATATAATCTACAATAGTGATGCAAACACTAAAATGTTTTCTAAAAACTTAAGGGAGCACGTTACTACGGTATACAGTTTTAGTCTTTGATTTTACGGATTGAATCCTCTAAAATTTTAAGAACAGGATTAGGAGTTAGGAAATCCTGAGTTCTAATTCAGACTTTTACTCACTTCATGGTCTTGGGCAAGTCATTTAACTTCTCTGCCTCAATTTGCCTCATAAACTGGGGATAATGTTTACTTCACAGGGATGTTGTGAAGATTAAAATGGCACCATCAATGTAAACATCAAACTATGAACATTTTTTGTCTGATGCTGTTACAAGTAATACTTAAGCAGAAACTGAAGGTTTTACAGACCTTCTGGATAGCATTTCCTACAAGGCAGCTTTCTCTTTCCTCTTGTTAATATACTGGCCAAGTCTACTCTCCTCCTTCCTCCAACATTTTTCCTTTCAAAGAAGTAATAAGACCTAGAAAATAGTTATAAAATGGTTTGATTGCGACTTTTCATTATCAAAAATTACTTCATGTCCAAATAGTCCAGGCAATTTTTTCCATGCAGTATTCTTCAGGCAAAAATGATCCATATGAGTATTTCAGAAAAATTCCATAATCATCAAAACACAGACGTAGATATACTTAGATGATTTAACTATTTTTTCTTTAACTTAAGAAAGATTGACAGCAGGCAGGGAAAGCCAAGTTGAAATTCTTAATCTTGGAACTAGTTCATAGCATTCTGTTTATGAAGTCATTCTCTAGTAGGCCATCTGATAAGTGATATGAAAAGGAGAGATTGGTCAACACTTCCTGGAGTAATATCTCCTTGAGGTAGTTCCTGGAGTGAGCAGACATGAGCAAACATGTAGGCTGGTGGATTATAATGAGCCTGAAGGTGGCTGGGATTTTTAGGAGTGTACCAATAGGAAGCCACTCATCTCCAGTTACCACCAATCAACAAATACCAAATTATGAATTATAATCAATGAAGAGCAAATAACTGTCTTTTTTCTGCCATTTATTTGTCCTGTCCAAAAGAGTTATAAGTAGAGTACAGTGTTGGTGTGTCCTACTGTTGTATAATCCACTGGCTCTGCCATTTGACATAAATGCAAGGGTTTAATTTTATAACTGCTCCTTGTTCCTGTACATCTGATCTGTTTTTCCAGTGTCAGAAAATATGAACAAATTTAACCATAAACGTTATATTGTACAGTACTAGTGTCTGGGTATAATCTTCTCTTTGAAGTTTGTTTGCATCCCCCTGGAGGGATTAATTTCCTGCTGTGGGAAGGGGGTTAAAAAGTGCTGCAAGTACTTTACTGGTTTTTAATTGGAGGATTTAGTATGCACTTTGTTCTATAAACAAAGTGATTCTGTGGGAGATGAATTTTGGTTTTTGTTTTTGTTTTGTATAGTGATATGTTAGCACCAGCCAAATCTTCAGAAATTGTTCTTTTTTAAGTGATGGTATAAAAAAAAAAAATTGGGGAGGGGATTATGTGGCGCTAATCTGCTACCAGATAGCTTTTAAAATAGTTTTAAAGTGATTCATACTGAATCAGAAATTTCTAAATGCATATTCCATCATTTAAAATATTTTTTTACCCTTTTTCAGACAGGTTCTTGACATGTTTATCCATTCTAGTACATGTTTAATCCATGATGGGGTTTTTTTTTTTTAGTGATTTTATGATAAATGACACAGAAATGTATATACATGTTTTATTGCAATAAAGAGTGACTGGAAAAGGCACACCCAACAGCTAGAAACAGCTGTTGTGGACTTCTAAGTGTTTACAATCTAAGTGTGTATAAAATGTAAAAAGAACAGTTTTATTAGGGGTGTGTAATCAAATATATTTTCCCTCCTAATGGGTCTGAAATCATCTGATGATTTCGGGACAAATTTCTTTGATGTTCTGTGTCTTACATAATTCTTCTGTAACTTCATATGTTTTTGCTGGTATGGATTTGAGAAAATGCTGCAAAGTTTTAAAGCCACTGATATGTTATACTGAAAGTGTGTCTGCTTGTGGGGTGGTGAAAGCAGCCTCCATTTTGCTGAGGGTACTAATCCAAAAGTTTACATGGTGAGATGTTTCTTGCCATGTGTAAAATTTAAAAAAAATGCTTTTAATTACAATTGGTATGTCCTAGCTCAGTGGTTCTCAACGAGGGGTACGTGTACCCCTGTGGGTACTCAGAGGTCTTCCAGGGGGTACATCAACTCCTCTAGATATTTGCCTTATTTTACAACAGGCTACATAAAAAGCACTAGCGAAGTCAGTACAAACTAAAATTGCATACAGACAATGACTTGTTTATACTGCTCTATGTGCTGCACACTGAAATGTAAGTACAGTATTTATATTCCAGTTGGTTTATTTTATAATTATATGGTAAAAATGAGAAAGTGTTACTGAAAAATTCCTTAATGCGTTGCGTACACAATCAGGCATAAAAATACAAGTGTCACAAGTAGTTTTTAAGTGAGGTGAAACTTAGGGGTACACAAGACATATCAGACTCCTGAAAGGGGCATAGTAGCCTGGAAAGGTTGAGAGCCACTGATCCAGAACACAAAATCAGATTATGAAAGTTTATGGGTACTAATACAGTAAAGGCCTTTTTGTCTAGAAATAAAACCATTGAAATTTTGTGAAAACATAAGTGAGTAAGTGTGTTAATTTCTTTACAGTTGTTGTTTTCCACTCAAAATAATCTAAAATTGAGTGATATACTATCTCCTGTATTTTGCTTAAAGCTGATTTTTAGGATTTAATTTATTACTTGAAAATAAAAGCCTACTCATCTTGCAAAAAAAAATCTGTTCTATTGTGGTTTCATGTCTTTTTAAAGTAGCTATGTGTATACAATTAACTACTAAAATTCTGATTGTTCCATATACCATAGGCAGAAACCTCTGGGAAAAGGATGCTTTTTTTTTTTTTTATATTGGAACAGTTGTTACAACCATCTTCAAAAATATATAAATGTACTGGTTTCAGCTCAGATGCATGTGAACACTGATCATGATTATAAAGGCATTCAACATGTACTTTGACATGTATATACATGTATATTTTGGTTTGCATGGGAGAGAATATGTTTGTTGTTTGTTTTATCTCCTCTAATAAAAATAAAAGAACTGCCAGTCTTTTTAGTAGTGCACCAAAATTTAGTTGAGAGATTGCTTACATTAGGTGAAAGGCTATTATGGCATGAACGAATATAACAACTGTGCAGAATATGTTGCTTTAGACCTAGAGTACCACATTTCAGAAGGGTGAAGTAGCTCTGAGAGGACTCCCACTGCATGAAGGAACCATTTCCCTGACGTTTCTGTGCTCCAGGATTTCTTCCCCAGAAATTATAGGTTGAGGGAAAAGGATGGCTGACTAGAAGATAAGTTCTCTGCTGTACAAGGTGGAGGAAGAAAAAATTCCACCAAATACAATGAAGTAGACAAAGCAAGCACCTATTATCATAGTGCATACGAACCCCAGTAATGGATCAGAATCCCATGGTGCCAGGATTCTGTACAAACAGAACAAAAAGACTGTCCCTGCCTCAAAGAGCTTACAACCTAAGTATAGAACAAGAGAGAGATTAATACGAAAAGGGGACAGGACACACAAAGTCTGGTTACTGCAGGCGGGGCAGGTGGGGAGGTACTGGGTCATTACCCGCGCCAGCCCCTACTCAGCCAAGGCCACCTCTGATCTGTGTCAAGTAGCTGCAGCTCACAGCCCCGGCAAAGCAGGCGAGTCCTTCCTGACCCTGGCAGGGGAATGGGACGGGAAAAGCAGTGAGTGGCTGAAGAGGAGTGGATGGGGGCAGGGTCTCAGGGGGAAGAAGAATTGCAGGAGAGGCTCTGGCACTCCTACTGGAGTGTCTGGTTTTTAAATATTACCAACTTGGTAACCCTAGGGGGAGTACAAGGAAACAGTGAGACCGTACTGTCTAAAACAGACTCCTTCCCCTACCCTGTTCCTGTCTGGTCTAACACAGGTAGAGGAACAGTGTGATGGCAGCAAACATTATGTTAGTTCTACAGCTGTTTTTTGATAGGGTGGGTTTACTTTGGAGGAAATCAGCTAAATGGAAAGAAAAAAGGGGAGGAAAGAGAAGTAGGGGACAGGGCAGGGGAGGAGAGTGTTAGGAGAGGCAGGTGTGGAGTGAAGCTGAGCTGAAAACACTGTGAAGGAAAGGTAGTTAGAGGGCTGGAGCAAACAATCACTCAGCACGGAGCAAGGAAAGTCGCTCTCAGAACATTCTAGTTTTGACTGGAATGTCCAGACGTCCGTGCTTTGAGTGCTCCTCTTTCTACCAGCTGGGGACTCTGGCTGGCTCCTCTGCGATTCTCACCCAAGGCCACATGGTAAGGGGGATGGAAAGCACTGCCAGGGTACCAGTCACCCCAGTGTGTGTGTGTGTGGGGGGTGGGGGTGGCTGTATTCCCTTCACAGTTCTGGATCTAGGGGCCTGCTGTGGGGAGGAGTGGTCCTGGCTGGGCCCCATTTTATGTGCTTCCCCTCGTGCAGCAGTCCCTGTTTTGCTTGCTTCTGTGCCTGTTGGCTGGAGTCTTTCACTGAGTTGGGGTCTGGATGGAAGGAGAAATCTGTGGAGGATGTTTTGTTTACTAAGTAGGAAATAGTTTCTGGGCCAGATCCTCAGTGCTTTTTTGTGTCTACCAGACCTGGGTTGAGGGTGTTACAAATAGTTTTTATGACTCCTCTCTCAGCTGTGTCCATCCCTTACTGAGCCTTCAGTTTTGAGTTTGTTCAGTTCTAGTGTCTAATCTGCAAAATGAAACAAGATATGTGAAAAATTTCTTTTAATGTTTGCTGTGTACTAACAATAGCCTTCCAGGAAAATCTTATAATTTATTCTCTGTGGCTGTGACTTATAAATTTTGTCTTTCCACATTTGT